CAATAAGCAGCCAAAGTCCCTTCCTTCCCTCTCTAGTATCCAGGCTGGGCCCTCTACTCTCTTGAGCCCCCATCCTTAAGACAAGAGTTAATTCTCATGTACAAAGTGCCCAGATCTTGTCCCATTTCTGCTGGTGTAATCTCACATCCTGTAAGACCCAGCTTGACTGTGGCAGTGAGAGATCACATTCAGAGATAATCTCCAGGCCTAACACTGTGTCTGAATGTATAGATCTCATTATTTCCTTAAGGCCCTGAATCATTCTATTGAATTTAAAAGGCTTTGGATTGTTTGGAATGTTTATTTCTATGAAATGAAAATAATGTAGTCCTTCATATTGGTGTAGCACTAGGTTATTTCTCCCAAGACCACAGACTTGCCCTCAGCTGTTATTAATTGGGGTATTAATCCAAGACTCAGAGAACTGCTAAGAGGAAGGTATGGGAGGATGAAATGGAGGCAACATAAATTGCTGTCAGTTTGTAATTGTTCTGTGTTCTATTTTCTAGGCCCTGGGGCAAGAGAGTAATGTGTATCTTTTGTAATGTAGGCAATTTACTTCCCCTTTCTAGAATGGCCCCCTAGGAGTCAAGATGTCTTCTGTCTTGGAAACTGTTTGCACTGTTGACATACAGGAGGTGTCTGTCATTTATGACACCTATTTAGTTTATTGTAACACCCATAGATAGATTAGCTCCCACAGCCACAAGGCTGTGAGGAGACTGTGGCATCGTTCCCAGAAAAATCAGCAAATCAGAATCACTTGATAGTGACAGTCCTAGCTTCCTGGGAACAGAAAGATTGGTTTTGCCAGTGCAGTAACCATAGGGCTAGACTTGGATTTAGGACTGGCTTAGGGAAGAGTTGTTTTAAATTAGCATCTATGTTTTTCCTCAAGTCTGCCTCTTGTAACTCACTGAAAAGTAAAGCCATCATTGAGCATCTACTATGTGCCAGGCACTGTGTGAACACAAGTGATGCTTGGGTGAATGGGACACAGTCGCTTCTTACCCAAAGCATACAGCAGGCTAGGAAAGGTAGTGCTCAAAAATGTAACTAACCGTACATGGTAAGTGCTTTACTAGCAGAATGAACTGACAAGAGAACAAAATTAAGGAAGCAATTCTCCCTGAAAGGGTCGGTGAAGGTGTTATGGAAGTCAGCTCTATAGACATTTACTAAATGCTACCTACATCATACACTGAGTATGTAAAGTGAACTGACCCTAGGAATAACCAGCTGCTTGGGATACACTGGGGAACACTGGGGCTATAAAGAACATGATAGAGTTCCCCAGAACTTTTCTGCGTGATTATTAATGATGACCTGACTCTTAGCCTGTGCCATTAGAGTGCCCTGGTCTCTAGCCCACCAGTCTCATTCTGCCTTGCCTGTTCTGCTGAATTACAATAATGTCAGAGTTTTAGAGGGAGTCATATTTGATATGAATAGTAGTAATGATCCCTTTCCATTTCCAAAGTGCTTTCACATCCATTATCTCAGTGCCTTTCAAGCCATGTGCTTTTGGAACACTAGTGATCCTAGAGCCAAACCTCTCCTCAAGTGTACTAATGGCAATCTTCCGCATTTTAGTTTCCACAATTTAGAACCTAAATTTCAGGTTTTTTCCCCAATCAGTTTTACTTGATGAAAACAGATATTAACAGAGAAACTCAGATATGTCTTCTTTTTTTTTCATATTTTTTGAGATGCAGAGAACTCCATTTATATAATATAACCATATTTTCTGCTAGTAAAGTCATTCTTGTTGTATATGATCAAAGTATCTTGACAAACATTTTATGGTGTTTCACA